TTCCTCTAATACCAACTCGGACACTGAAGGAATGCAGTTTCAAATGGAGGAATCAACCACAGAAAATGATTGTGCCATGAATGAGATGTCTGAATCTCAACCAGAAAAGCAGACAGGAGAAACTCCCTTGAAGGCCACAAAGACATGGAAAAGAAGGACCCTCCCTAAATCAATTTTGAAGGGGCACCAGCAACTTGGGAAAAGCTCCAAAAACAAAAGGAAAAAAGACCAACACTCAGAGATTAACACCACTAGGGAGACAGAAGATGAAGGATATGAGGAGCAGAGAACTGAAATTGTTAAAAGGCAGAAGACAGAATCTGAAAGGGTGAAGGAGGCCAACCCTAATGGGCCCCCAACCTCCCAATGAAAGTTGCGGTGTGGAATTGTAGAGGGCTGGGTGGGCCCTCTACAGTTTCCCAAATCAAGGAGATTCACAGGCTCCACCACCCAACCTTTATTTTCCTTTCTGAAACAAAAAAAAAAAAAGAAAATTTTACCAAAACTGTTTGTAAAAATCTTTGCCTGGGGGATAGATGGACCACTGTTGAGCCTCTAGGGAAAAGTGGAGGTCTCCTTTTGGGGTGGGATCCCTCTATCCTGATTATTAGTTTGGTTAAGAACAATTTTTGTATAGAAGTTAATTTCTGGGAGTCAGGTGGCCCTGCTAGCTCTTGGGGTATTTTTGTTTACCTAAGTACTGATGTGGTTCAGAGAAGGAGTCAATGGGATTATCTGTAAGATGCTAAGCAGAACTGGGGAGACATATGGTTCATGGGTGGTGATTGGAACGACCTCTTAGACAATACTGAGAAGGAAGGTGGCAAGAGAAGATCAGAAAGCTCTATGGAAGGATTTAGAGAATTCATTGCTAAAATGGGGTTGCTAGAACTGGAAATGAAAGGCCACAAATTCACTTGGGGAAATAGAAGAATGGGGGAAGGATATGTCCAGGAGAAGTTGGATAGATATTTTTGTACATTGAGCTGGCATCATCAATTTCCATCAGCAGAAGCTACCAACATTCACAGAAGTGCTTCAGATCATGGACTCATTCTCCTGAATTGCAACCCTAACATCGGAAAAGTCAAGAAAAGGTTCAATTTTGATAAGAGATGGCTGGGAAGAGAAGGAATCAAAGAAACAATTGCTGCAGCTTGGAACAAAAACTGCCATGGAACTCCAATGTTCAATTTCCAAGAGAAAATTAAAAACACAAGAGTCGAAATACTCAAATGGAGCAGCAAATTCAGAAGTGAAGCCACTCTTAAAATCACAGAGCTCAATCAAAAGCTTGCTGACCTTAATAACCAGGGGGGTGACAGAAACTGGGAGCTCTGGGATCTATTGAATAACCAACTGAACGAGGCCCATAAATCAGAGGAGCAGTACTGGAGGCAAAAAGCTCGATCTAATTGGCTGAAGATGGGAGATAAAAACTCCAAGTATTTCCATGCTTGTACCAAGGAGAGGAGATATCAGAACACAATCAGTAAATTGCTCAAAGAAGACCTCAGTGTTTGTGACACAAAGGAAGAAATAGTAAAGGGTCTGGAGGACTTCTACAACAAGCTGTTCACCTCTCAGGGACAAATGAATGGCATGGAGATTCTCAGAAATATCAAGCACAAAATTACTCCAGCCCTTAATGCTGATCTCA